GTCAAGAGATCGAGACCATCCTGGTCAATATGGTGAAACCTCGTCTCTACTAAAAATACAAAAAATTAGCTGGGCATGGCGGCGCGTGCCTGTAATCCCAGCTACTCAGGAGGCTGAGGCAGGAGAATTGCCTGAACCCAGGAGGCAGAGGTTGCGGTGAGCCAAGATTGCGCCATTGCACTCCAGCTTGGGTAACAAGTGAAACTCCGTCTCAAAAAAAAAAAAAAAAAAAAAGACTAGAGCAGAGGCTGGGTGGGATGGATCATGCTTATAATCTTAGCACTTTGGGATGCCAAGGTGGGTAGATCACGAAGTTAGGAGTTCGAGACCAGCCTGGCCAATACAGTGAGACCCTGTCTCTACTAAAAATACAAAAATTAGCTGGGTGTGGTGGTGTGTGCCTGTACACCCAGCTACTCGGGAAGCTGAGGCAGAAGAATTGCTTGAACTGGGGAGGTGGAGGTTGCAGTGAGCAGAGATCATGCCACTGCACTCCAGCCTGGGCAACAGAGTGAGATGCCATCTCAAAAAAAACAAAACCAAACAAAAAATTAGCCAGGCCTAGTGGCACTCGCCTCTAATCCCAGATACTCGGATGGCTGAAACATGAGAATTGCTTAAACCTGGGAGATGAAGGCTGTAGTGAGCTGAGATTACACTACTGTATTCTAGCCTGGGTGACAAAGCAAGATCCTGTCTAAAAAAAAAAAAAAAAAAAAAAAAATTAGTTGGATGTGCTGCTATGTGCCTGTAATCCTAGATGCTTGGATGGCTGAAGCCAGAAGATCACTTGAGGCTGGGAGGTGGGGCTGCAATGAGCCATGATTGCACCACTGCACTCCAGCCTGGGTGACAGAGAGAGATCCTGTCTGGGGAAAAAAAAAAAAAGATTAGAGCAGAGATAAATAAAACAGAATAGAAAAACAATAGAGAGTCAACAAAATCAAACGCCCTTTAGCTAGATTAAGAAAGAAAGAGAAGGTACAAATAACTAAAATTAGAAATAAAAGTGGGGCTATTACCAATCTTATAGAAATAGAATTAATAGCAGGGCCAGGTACAGTGGTTCATGACTGTAATCCCAGCACTTTGGAAGGCCGAGGCAGGTGGAACACTTGCAGTCAGGAGTTCGAACCAGCCTGGCCAACATGGTGAAACCCTGTCTCTACCAAAAACACAAAAAATTAGCCGGGCATGGTGGTGCGCACCTGTATTCCCAGCTACTCAGGAGGCTGAGGCAGGAGAACTGCTTGAACCCAGGAGGAGGAGGTTGCAGTGAGACAAGATGGCACCACTGCACTTCAGCCTAAGTGAAAGAGACAAGACTCCATCACAGAGAGGAAAAAAAAAAGAATAGCAATCCTTCTCAAACTCTTCCAAAAAATAGAAGGAACACTTCCTTTTTCTATGAAGCCAACATTACCCCAATAGCAAAGCCAAAGACACCACAAGAAAACTACAGAGCAACAGCCCATAAGATATATGCAAAACCCATGCACAGTGGTACACACCCACAGCCCCAGACACACAGGAGGCTGAGATGGGAAGATCACTAGTTTCAGCCCAGCCTGGTCAAAACAGAATATGCAAAAATCCTCAGCAAATAATTAATACCAGCAAACTAAATGAATAAATATTATACATCACAATCAAGTGAGATCTTTCTCACGGCTGTAAGATTGTTAGAAGAATCTATGTGGCCAGGTGTGGTGGCTCACACCTGTAATCCAAGCACTTTGGAGGCCAAGGCGGGCGGATCACCTGAGGTCGGGAGTTCAAGACCAGCCTGACCAACACGGTGAAACCCCATCTTTAAAAAAAAAAAAAAAAAAAAAAAAAAAGGCCGGGCACGGTGGCTCAAGCCTGTAATCCCAGCACTTTGGGAGGCCGAGGCGGGTGGATCACGAGGTCAAGAGATCGAGACCATCCTGGTCAACATAGTGAAACCCCGTCTCTACTAAAAATACTAAAAATTAGCTGGGCATGGTGGCGCGTGCCTGTAATCCCAGCTACTCAGGAGGCTGAGGCAGAATTGCCTGAACCCAGGAGGCGGAGGTTGCGGTGAGCAGAGATCGCACCATTGCACTCCAGCCTGGGTAACAAGAGCGAAACTCCGTCTTAAAAAAAAAAAAAAAAAAAAAAAAAAAGGCCGGGCGCAGTGGCTCAAGCCTGTAATCCCAGCACTTTGGGAGGCCAAGGTGGGTGGATCACAAGTTCAAGAGATCGAGACCATCCCAGTCAACATGGTGAAACCCTGTCTCTACCAAAAATACAAAACATTAGCTGGGCATGGTGGTGTGTGCCTGTAATCCCAGCTACTCAGGAGGCTGAGGCAGAATTGCCTGAACCCAGGAGGTGGAGATTGCGGTGAGCCGAGATTGCGCCATTGCACTCCAGCCTGGGTAACAAAAGTGAAACTCCGTCTCAAAAAAAAAAAAAAAAAAAAAGAAGAAGAAGACTCTATGTAATATGTCACATTAATAGAATTAAGGGGGGGAACCCACATGATTATCTCAATGCAGAAAAAGTCAGATAAAATTTTTTCATGACAAAAACACTCATAAAACTGGTATTAGAAGGAAATTTCCTCAACATAATAAATGGTCTTTATTGAAAACCTATATGTAATGCCATACTGAATGAACAGACACTGAAAGATTTCCCTTCTAAGATTAGGAAGAAGACAGAGTTAAGGATTTCTTGTTGTTGTTGTTTAAACAAAGAGAGAGAGAAGAAAAGAGAGATCCTATAAGCAGGATTATAAAGAATATAATTAAAATATATATTCTTTAGCTAGGATTACAGGCATGTGCCACCAAGCCTGGCTAGTTTTTGTATTTTTTTGTGGATATGGGTTACACCACGTTGCCCAGGCTGGTTTTGTCCTCAAATTATCTGCCCATCTCAGCCTCCCAAAGTGCTGAGATTACAAGCCACCACTCTTGATCCAAAATGTATATTCTAAGTACCTATATGCTTCATTGTACAATCAAGCAAAAGAAAAAAAAAGTTACTATTATTTGAAAACTCAAAACACTTAAGACATGTTAGAACTACATAACATACAAAAACATTATTTAAATATATCTCATCAATATAGAAATGCACTGTCTACAATGCAAATAACTAGCTTCATCTCAAAGCAGGATTTCTGAGACACTCAAAATCTTAGTGAATAGTTTGTCACTGTGCATGACAGTATAACCATAAAGTAATGAGACTGTATACCAAATGCTACATCTAAAACTAATTATGTATAATCACAATATATTTATACAGATATATCCTAAGTTATATATGTATACAGATATATCCTGAGTAGATAAAGGTTGATGAGGCCTTTATCTTATCCTAAGTCCAAGGAATAAATGGAAGTATATTAACATTTCACACAAATAAAAAACAAAATCAACAAGAGGGAGAAACTAAAATGGAATACAAATAGAAATAAATGAACCTAACTATTTCAAGTGAATAATATAACTACACTATGAAAGGGGTATGAACCTAATTCAAATTTTCAAGTTACTTTACTCCCAGTCCAAGAAAAAAAGAACTATAAACAAAGATTGAACTCTATACAGTTTTGTTTTTCACAATGATATGAATTAGCACCAAAACTGTGTATATTCTTGGGTTGAACATCTAAGTAAACGTACTGTGGAAATCAGGAGCCAGGTTTTTACTAGAGAAAGGAGTTACAAATATGGATAAAAGAATGCTAGAATGAACCATATAGTGTTAAGCTGTAATTAGATGTATTAGTATGAAATCCACTGTGGTTTTTGTTGTCGTTGTTTGAGACAGAGTCTTGCTCTGTTGCCCAAGAGTGCTGTGGCACAATCTTGGCTCACTGCAACCTCCACCTCCTGGGTTCAAGTGATTCTCCTGCTTCAGCCTCCCAAGTAGCTGGGATTACAGACACACATCACCACGCTCAACTAATTTTTGTATTTTTAGTAGAGACAGGGTTTCACCATGTTGGCCAGGCTGGTCTCGAACTCTTACCTCAGGTGATCCGCCCACCTCGGCCTCCCAAAGTGCTGGGATTAAAGGCATGAGCCATCACGCCTGGCCAAAATCCACTGTTTTTAATATATAAAAATATGTAGATATGTGTTATATGTGGGTGCATGCAGGTCCTAGCTCTTACAATTAAGAGAACCTAGAGGCAATGACACTCCAGTAGAATTGAGCACATCACCTAGAATCTAGATCATGGTTTTTAAATATTCTTCTTCATTAAAAGGAACCAAGCATCCCTGGATGAGTTCAGGGCACGGACAAGTAAAATATTAGATGAGTCTTGGACATTTGTTATGACAGAAAATAAATGCTCAAATAACGAAGGCATGTCCAAATATTAAAGGAGCCAGCTTGAAGGAGCTCCCACTGACTAATTTGAGCATCAAAAGACATAACAATACTTAACAGATTATAATCTATTTAATAAAAAAGAAAATCTTGAGTCCATATCAATTATCAGTAAGTAAATGAATGAGGGAGATAAGAGAGCTCTTTCTTACATTAAAATGTCAATTAATAATTCTAGAAGAAATGATGGAATTAGGAAGTAACCATTGGACAACCATTATAACAACTGTTTCATACACCACCAATGGATGCTAAAACTACTGCTTTCTTCTTCTTTTTTTTTTTTACTACTACTGTCTGTTTTCTAAGAAACAAAATATTTACATAGAGTAAAATCTTCCCATAAAACACTTATCATTTGCATTAGGAAAAACAGTTAAATTTACAGTGAAGAAACTTGAGTGTCATCCTAATGGTATAACAGGGATTCAAACCAAGACTGATTCCAAAGTTCATGTTCTTAACCAGTAGGACTATCTTATCTGCTTACTTTAGGAGTTACTTGGATCTGGATTTTTACCAACCCTCCCAAAGTGGACCTGCATTATCCACCCATCTAAGAGGTCTTAAGGCTCTGTACGATTTCAAAGATGTGAACCCATGCTTAGGTTGGCCTTTTTTCCCCACCGTGTCCTGGTACTTGAGGATAAAACTGGCAGACAGGAAGCCACTGGCATCAAAGACATGATGCCCAGGGGACTAGAGCTCTTTCCCTCTGCCTCCAGATATAACAGGGAACGCACATACCTGGTACCTGACAAGAAAGGGAGTGGCATTGATCTTTAGTGACCAAACAACAAAATAATTCCTAGGCAGCATACATCAATTACCAAAAGCATATTGCTGCCTGACCTGAGACCACTGCCAAAGGAAGGGCTGTTTCCTAAGAAATACACTAGGAGTCCAAAGGACTCTTTCTTCAAGGAAGTCTCCCTCTTCAGTCTGAAAAGTTTCCTCTGCTTGAGCAATTCTCATGTTAAGAGCCTGGCAAAAAAGTGTATAAACATACTTTACTTGAAGTTGTACTCATTTGTTAAGTCCTTCTCCTTTAATTGGTTTCTGAGGTCAAAGCCCCCTTGCTTTTAAGAATGGACAAGAATCAAAAAGTAGGTTCAACAGAATGATAAAACATAATAGTATTTTGGCTTGTGCAACATTTTGCTAAGAAATCATAAAGCAGAACTGGGACTAAAATGTCCAATTTTATCCAGTTATAAAGAAAAAGATATTTTGATGAAAACAAAGAGAAAAACTACTAGAAACTATATTCTCTTGGGGTTAGATTCATGGGTAAAGAGAAATATCTTAGATGTCACTTAATCCTTTTTTGTTTTGTTTTTCAAGATAAAGGTCTCATTCTATCAGCCAGGGTGGAAAGCAGTGGCACCATCACAGCTCAGTGCAGCCTCAAACTCCTGGGCTCAAGTGACCCTCCTGCCTCAGGATCCCAAAGTGCTGTAATTACAGGCGTGAGCCACTGTGCCCATTTACTCTTTTTAAATTTTATCTAAGACTACCATCATTACAAAATTCTAAGCTTTATTTTTAGCTTACTTAAGCGCAATGTTCAGAAGGAGTAAGAAATACAATATTCTTGCAAACTACACTCAGAAAAGCTTTGAGAAACTTGCTTATTATCAGCTGGGTATTCCTTTTGCTCTACACTGTATTTCCTCAAATTAAGTCCTGAGATATAAATCTCTCAAATCACTGTCAATATCAACCCTATGAATTCTTAACATTTTAATTTGTATTTCTAATACATTTACTCTAACATTCTTTTGAGGAATACATGGAGAACTGACAATTGGTTATGTTAGTTTACATGCTCCCTTGTTCTTATTACATTAAATGTATATAAGAAGGGTTTGCTTAGCATCCCTTGGGGGGGCGGGTGGAAGTATTCACATTCTTTAGGTCTGACGGGTGATAAGGAGAGGGGGGATTAGAAAACATCTACTACTGACCATATGGAAGTTTGGATGACATAAATTCAGAGATTCAGACCAGCTGAATCAAATTAAAATGTACATGTAAAAAATGTGTTAGACAAAGAAAGGCAGGAGAGAGAGCCAGGTGAGTGGGGAGTCACACTGAGCAGGACACAAAGGCATTCACTAGCATGTGACATTTCTTATGGAGGGCAAGATGTTCAGATGGGAGCAGCTGTGGTCACAGTCCAGGAAGTGGAAAGCTTTGATTCCAGTATGTTTTCAGAAATGTCTTGTTAGTTGATCAGGTCAAGCAAATTGCCATCTGCATCCTTCTCATGTACATTTGTAGGGTTTTCCTCCTATGTGTGTTCTTCTGTGTGCTTTCACGTGGGAGCTTTTAGTGTACACTTGGCTGCATCCATAATAATCACATCTGTGTATCCTCTGACTCCTTTGAGTATCCAGGGATTCCACAGGTAAAGGTCTCTTCCTAGGCTGCATGATGGCCAAAGGGTGATTCTCCTGTAACAATGCTTGCAGGGGGAGATAGAGTTTAAGTGGGGTGACATTTCTTCAGGATAATAATCTGTCTTCTGTGGTTCAATCCCAGGTTCTATTTTTTTTTCTGTGATAGAGGATTCTCATTTGATTCGATTACTGGTACTTGCATGCTACTATTGGAATTTCCATCCCCTCCAACAAGGAGACCATGAAAGGCTGCTGAAGGTGACTCATGTACATAAAGGGGACGGGCTGCACCACCACCGGCTGGATGACAGGCTTATCCCCAGGCTCCATATTCCGTGCCATGAGAGGGCAGCTGCCATCACCAGCGGCATGAACAGTGGCATGCCGAAGGGCTGCATGCCTGGAGAAGATGGTATTTTTCATCAGTGGGCTGGAAGAAGGCATGCTCAACCCAGGCAAGGCCCTCTGGTGTGAGGACAGAACTTCAGAGGAGGGCAAATTCCCAGCCAAAGCGGGTGAACTCTGCTCGTTCACAGTTAGGTCTACCAGCTCTATCTGTATTCTGTGCAACAGGCCTTCTGGGGTCTGAAGTAACTTATCCGGCAATGTTATGGTGCAGATGACCCCATACTTGCTGAGCTTCACAGATTCCATGTGATGGGTATGACACTAAGACAGGGTCCATGGTGCCTCTTGCGTGACAGAAACTGGGTCAAACATCAGCTTTTTTTTTTTTTTTTAGACGGAGTTTCGCTCGTTACCCAGGCTGGAATGTAATGGCGCGATCTCGGCTCACCGCGACCCAAACATGAGCATTCTTTTAGTTAAACTTTCTAGGGTACTCTGGTGTTTGGCTTTTTGAGGCATGGCACAGGGTACCGCTGGTGAGAAATAAAGGCCTGGATCCGGGTTGCCTGGAGCCCCCCAAGCACAGTAATGTCAGGGCTCCAATCCAGGTGGTGCTGGTGGCAGCAGCCGCAGGTTACGGAGTTAGGGATAGGAGCGCATGCTCTGGGTGCGCAGGGCAACTCGGCAGGTGCTCTCGCTGCTCTCAGTCTCCCCTCTGGCTCCTGGCACCTACTCTGGGCAGTACATGACACCGGTGCCCTTGCTCTGTGAGCTTCCCAGGGCTGGCGAGGTTAAGTAGAGGCTGGGATCGGGATGGGAGGGTCAGGGCTGAATTCTTAACTTTTAAGATAGTAAGTTCAAAAAAATACTGATAATCCATCCTATAATGAAAAACTAACAATGACATTCCAGTTACATTCCCAAACCGGAAAACCAGTAAAGCCAAACTCTATTTAAAGTCATTGCTGCAATAACCTTAATAAACACTTTACATTTCTCTGAACATGCACTCCCAACACCGCCACCCTCCCCCAACACACATACCTTGAGTCTGAAAGGATATACACAAAAATGTTTATGTTGAGTGGTAGAATAAATGTGGTTTATTTTTTCTTATACTTTTTTTTTGGAGACAAGATCTTGCTCTGTTGCCTCGGCTGGAGTTTAGTGGCGCCATCAGGTCTCACTGAAGTCTCAAGTAATGCTCCTGGTCTTAGTCTCCCAAGTAGCTGGGACTACAGGTCCATGCCAACATGCCCAGTTTTTTTTTTTTTTTTAAGTGGAGATGTAGTTTTGCTATGTTGTCCGGGCTGGTAATTATACATTTTGGTATTTTTCCGATTCTTTTCACAAAAAGTCTGTAAAAGCAGCTGGGCACAGTGGCTCATGCCTATAATCCCAGCACTTTGGGAGGCCAAGGAAGGCACATCTCCTGAGGTCAGGAGTTCAAGACCAGCCCAGCCAAGATGGTAAAACCCGTTTCTACTAAAAATACAAAAATTAGCTGGGCATGGTGGCAGGCACCTGTAATCCCAGCTACTTGGGAGACTGAGGCAGGAGAACCCAGGAGGTGGAGGTTGCAGCTCAGATCGCACCACTGTATTCCAGTCTGGGTAACAAGCGCGAGACTCCGTATCAAAAAAAGAAAAAACATTTATAAAAGCTCTAAAAATGATTATGACTTTTTTCCTTAATGAATTCTTTTTTTCCCCCCTTCTACTTCCAACTTTTATTTTAAGTTCAGAGATATATGTGCAGGTTTGTTAAACGGGTATTTATTGCATGTCACTGGGGTTTGGAGTACAAATTATTATGCCATCCAGGTAGCAGGCACAGCATCTGATAGAAGTTTTATGATCCTCACCCTCCTCCCATCCTCCACCCTCAAGGCAGCCACAGTGACTACCGTTTCCTTATATCCACATGTATTCAGTGTTTAGCTCCCAGTTATTAGTGAGAATATCAGCATTTGGTTTTCTGTTTTTGTGTTAATTCACTTAGAATAATGGTCTCTAGCTGCATCCATGTTGCTGCAAAGGACATGACTTCCTTCTTTTTATAGCTGTGTAATAATCCATGGTGTATCCATACCACATTTCCTTTATCCAGTCCACTGATGATGGCCATCTACGTTGATTCTGATGTCTCTGCTATTGGGAACGATGTTACGATAAACATATACATGTATGAGTCTTTATGGAAAACCAATTTGTATTCCTTTGGGTATGTATCCAGTAATGGGATTCTCGGGTTGAATGGTAGTTCTGTATTAAGTTATTTGAGAAATCTCCAAACTGCTTCACATAGTGGCTGAACTAATTTATTATTATTCCAGCCCCACTACTTACTTTGTTGAAGATGGTTGTAGGTGTGTGGCTCTGTTTCTGGGTTATCTAACCCATTCGACTGGTCTGTGTGTCTAGTTTTTGTACCAGTAGCAAGCTGTTTTGGTTACTGTAGCCTTGCAGTATAGTTGAGGTCAGGTAGTGTGATGTTTTCTTGTTTTTGCTTAGGATTGTTTTGGCTTTGGGGCCTTTTTGGTTCCATATGAATTTTAGAAGAGTGTTTTCAAATTCTGTGAAAAATGTTATTGGTAGTTTGAGAAGAGTAGCACCAAATCTGTAAATTGCTTTGGGCTGTATGGCCATTTTAACAATATTGATTCTTCCTCTCCATAAGCAATTGTTTATGTCCTCTGATTTCTTTCAGCAGTGTTTGGTAATTCTTCTTGTAGAGATCTTTCGCTTCCCTGGTTAACTGTTTTCTTAGGTATTCTATTCTTTCTGTGGCTACTGTGAATAGAAGTGTGTTCTTGATTTAGCTCTAGGCTTGGATGATATTGGTGTATAGAAATGCTATTTTTTTTTTTTTTAATTTGAGACAGAGTTTCACTCTTGTCACCCAAGCTGGAATGCAATGGCAGTATCTTGGCTCATTGCAACCTCCACCTTTCGGGTTCAAGCAATTCTCCTACCTCAGCCTCCCAAGTAGCTGGGATTACAGGTGCCTGCCACCACACCC